TTTATTGAAATCCTCTTTTTCTAGGTTACGGTAACAGGAAATCAGAGATTCACTATTGATTGTAAATAACACAATGTTTAATGAGATTTCTCGATATTTCTCCGTGTTTGTGAATTCTTGAAAAGTTGTATTCTTATAAAAGAATTGCATAAGCTTCAAGTTACTTTGAAAGTCGGATATAAAATTGAGTTGTTTTTGCTTCATATTTTTACTATTAGTTTCTTGAACAAACTGAAATGATTGACCTAAGTGATTGATGATTTCTAAAAAGGAAGTAGGAGGTACAATTGCTGCAAATGGGGTCTCCGAACGATTGAATTCTTGCAAAGTGGTATTCCCATAAAAATAATTGCTGAAAGTGTTTCACGGAAAGTGAAACTGATCAGGCCAAAGTTTCTATTTCTGAAGCAAAATTCTGAACTTCATTAAGCATTTCTAATCATCTTTTTGTGTTCCATAGTAAACTTTGGTTTTCAAATGCCTTTAATATATATATATTGATACTTTATTCAGGACATGAAATAAAGCGTAATCAGTCAGACAATACACAAATCTGCACATAAATACATAGAGAAAGATGAGATATTTTACTCGGCGATGTGGAGGCGGGGAGAGAAAGAAGATAGATAGAAGATAGGCTTCTTGCTTTAATAACCTCAGGCCATGAATGGGCCAACCCAGTGGAAGAGTGAACTCCGCTAGAGAAGGGATCTCTAGTCAGCTCTAGAGAAGAGACCTCTAGTCTGGGCGCACGCAATAAAGATTTAATATAAAATGAGTAAAATTGAAAGTCAAGCAAAAAAGCTATGTTATGCAAAAAGCTATGCAAATCAAAAGCTAAGCTATGCTTCAAATTTTCAATTCTCTCGACCAAAATCCATTATAACAAAAGAAAATCAGCTTTTCTCATTAAAAAATGGATAAATCAACTCAAATATCCTCCTTGATTTTCCTCCTTGATGATTTCTAGGAGGCAGGAAGTAGAAGGAACAATTCATACAGAAAGTGAAATTGCTGCAAATCCGATCGCACACTTTACGGTAATAATCCTGAGAAAATCTCTCGACCTTTTCACCTAGTAATTTAGTTGTCGGCAGGAAGTACCCATTATTTCGAACCAGTAGTTCTAATGCCTATTTAAGGGCATAAATCGGAAAAAAACCCAGCATTTGATGTTTGATAGATTCTATTGACAGCAAATTTCTATTTCTGAAACCAAACTTTATTCAGCATTTCCAATCATTTTTTGTGTACCATAGTAAACTTTTCCAAAACATTCTGCTCTTCAAATGTCCTTTTTTCTCACTAAAAAATTGAAGAGTCAGCTGAAAGGTCCTCCTTGATTGTCCTTTGGCACATTTTTTCTCAATAAAAATTTCGTTGAATCTTTAAAAGCACTCATTGTTACTGTAGATCTTCAGCTTTAAATGAAACAATTTTTCATTGCTCTTTGGGTATTCATCATATAAATTCTAGGACAGTTGAAGAAGGCACCGTCTCGACTCTCCTTTCCCCGAATGGTTTCAGGAATGGAGGTGAGTCTTTTCGATTGAGTTGTTCGAAAGTAGGTTACTACCCGGTTAAACCTTCACATACCTTAGCCGAGGTTAAACCTAAAACCAGCGGAAACGCTCACTAAAGTTCGTATTTTCCACGCCATCCAAGCTCGGTCCCTTCTTGCCAATGGCTGCACACCTGACAGATGTCTCTTTCATATACAGTAGATATTGTTTTATCTACTTTATGCTTCCTTGTTAGCTTTGTTCTGAAATTATAATCGATAACAGGATAGTACAAGAAGTAGCTTACAAGTTCGCAATATGAGTTTGCTTATGGCGCAAGAATAAGTAATCAGGGTGCTGGCTATGATAATAGATTTACTAACAGATCCATTCAGAAACTTGATAGATCTGACAGCTGTACAACCCGCCTTAAAGAGACTTGTGTACCTGAGAAGGTCTAACATTTAAAGCACAAGAGAAACTCAGTGTTTTAGACAATTCGCCGAGTTCTCGGCTACCCCGCTAACTACTACAACTGCTCCGGGAAAACATACGATCAATGGATGGCAACCGGAGAGCGATGGCCAATTTTGGGACTTCTTTTGATTATTCTGGGCACACTTTATATCGTTGGCCAGCTCTTCTTATTATGAAAAGTATCTTTAGGTTCTCTATCTGCCCACCATTTACGCCATGATCAAGCTCCGTCTATACCGAAACGATTGCTACAAGGTATAGTGAGACAAATTGTCGGTATTCCAGTAAATGCTCATTTTCTAGATCATGTTCGCCTTGATTCTTGCCGATATAGGCAATCTCTTCGTAAACTCGTTCATGGCTGGCTACATTTTCTCGATTGGTGGCGTGTTCTGCATGAATGCGGCTTTCTCTTTCATCGTTGGTGCATACAGTTTCAGTGAGTTCAAAGCTTTTTTCACTTTTTTTATTTTCGAATCTTCAGTAATCTGGTCAATTGCCACCTATCTCTATGTTCTACTCGCATTGAATCGTTTCATAATTGTTCTCGACAACAAACAGCTTCATCAAGCGTTCATGGTGGGCGAAAGTCTCAGTTTTCCGAAAAGCTAGGATTTGATCTTAAATTGAAGTAATGTAGCCTAATGTACTTAGACTTTGCTTGATAATGAAAATTTAGAAGGTTCCATTCTCTCTTTGGCTCTCGATTGGGATAGTGTATGGCCTTTGGACCGGTCGAAGATCGGTTCCTTTTAACAACAAAGCTTTCGGCGCTCTTTATATTCCCGTTATTGAAGATACTGCAAAAGTAAGAACATTATAATGATTATGAATGCAATTTAACTTTACCTAACGTTACAACGGTTTTAGGAAGTGCCGATGTACGCGAATATCTACCATGTCTGTCACAATGTGGCTATTGGCCTGATCATGTCCGTTTTATACGTGTTGATCTTCTTGCTGCTTGCTCGAAAGAGGGATACGAACAGGATTTCAAAAGGAGAAATGAATGTAGGTGGAAAGTCCAAAGCTCTTATCCATTTCTCAGGCCTTGGTCCAAGCCGTGTTGATCACTATACCCGCAATGATGGCCTCATGGATTTACGTGTACGTTCAGTTCTTTCAAATCGCTGCCCTGGAGATGGCCATCACTGCTCATTTTGCTTGGCAGACAACAGCTGGTAAGCAAATAGGGGGAGAGAATCATTGATAGACTTGTTTGGGATTTTTGAGAGCAATCTTGTCGAAATTCCCAAGGTCCGACGTACCGAAGTGGTACGATTGTTGTCTGCTTTAGGCTTCTCAAGTCAAGTTCGCAAGGCTTTTACTCCGGTATTTTGTATTTAAGATAGAACATGTCCAAACAAGTTTGTTCAAATGCAAATGTTCCAGGCATCTCTGCACTCATCTACTTGGCCCTCAATCACAGTATTCGCCAATTCTACTTTGGCAACCGAGTCATTCATTCATCGTATCTCGAAGATTCAATCAAAACCCCGAAAACAACATCGACCTCTTAACTTCACAGATTTTTCCTAATAGGCTCCTTTGTGTTCAAGATGCTTTCTGGTTTGACTTTTCTTTTGTACTTTTTGTTTCCAAAAATGTTCAATTTTAAAATACCACCGATTCTGAAGAGTTAGGGGTTAATTTGAGAGCAGGAAGACAAGAATTAGTGAAAAAAGGTGTGTCTCAGGCTGGAATCGAACCATCGACCTTCTGAAAAATCAGACAAACAAATCACATTTCAAAGAGCTGTTTTTGCGCGAAATGTTTATTCAGCATGTTTTGACGAGAACTTGTCAGGGTCAGTGATACAAATCTTTGGCCGATACAAATGACACCACGTGCTGATCGGCATCTCATCTGCCAAATTCAATTTGTCTCTGCTAATTCCTGAATTTCATCAGATAGACGTTTCCCACTGATTATTTCCTATTCTTGGACCATGCAACTTTCGGGGTACAACTTCCGTTCTCAATTAACAATTTCAAGGCTAATTGTAGTTCTGGAAATTTTATCCCTAAGCTATTGATTCAAGAAAAACCAATTAAAATCTATTAAAAGGGCTTGTTCTTTAAAATTATCAACAAATTTTCAAACACAATTGTGCAGAAAAGTGAAGTTCTCTTTCCTGTGAAGTTTTATTTGATGCTTTTACTTTGAATATTTCTGATTCTCTTGTCCTTCCTCTAAACCTCGTGTTTGTGATAAAAAGAGACGGAGCCCACTTTGTATTTTTTTCTTTTGGCTTTTGAAATACGGAACCAAAGATTTATTGTATTTTCTCGCTAGATTAGTTATTGTGCTACATTCGGAATAAAATATTTAAATAATCGCTTCCCCATCGGTTCCTCTCACACGCACTGCACAACAATAAGCCTTTCGACAATTTTTTCAGAACATCTACCTGTGCAACCCCCAAATAGAAAAGTACAGAAGCTTGTAAAACGAATAGGAAACATTGAGGAGAACCACATGTTGAGTTAAACCGACAAAGTGAAGAATTTGGACATAACCTTTTCCCCTAAATAAATAGAACATTTGTTGGCATTCAAAATCACGCTAATTCGACCCCAAATTTTTTGTTTGCAAGGCCAAAAATATAAATTATACGAGAAATATGGAAATATTTTGATGTATAATATTTATTATATAAACAAAGCTTAAAAGCTCAACAATTGCTATTTTCGCCGAAAACCACCGTTATCTCGTTTTAACTCCGTACCTTTAGCAAGTCACCGTTTTCGGTGATTTTCTAAAAGGCACTAGCGGCACCGTAGTGCGTACGCGATGCTCCGTGTCGGGATCGCCCTATAAAAGGCGACGCCCTTTCTCATTACCTCACTTTTTTTGCGAGCTGTTTTTCTAATCACTTCAGGGGCCTCCAAACGTGAATTTCGAATTCGCAGCCGCTGTTTTTGAGCAAGTGAGATAAAATCAACAATTTTTATTTCAACAATTGGGACGATCTCAAATTAAGAGACAGAAAAAACGTATAACTGTTCTCTGATTTGATCACTTTCCTCGCAACCGAATGGGAGCTCTGCCTCGCGCAGCTTTTGATTGGTCCACAGTCGGCTTTGATCCTCTTCCAGAGGCACGAGATTCATAGGTTGTCCTGAAAAGTATCCACAATGAGTGAGTTCGCAAGATCTAGTGTTCTTAGGTCACCGGGTGGGCGGGTTGTTGAGCTTTTAAGCTTTGTTTATATAATAAATATTATACATCAAAATATTTCCATATTTCTCGTATAATTTATATTATACTACACAAGCTTAAAAGCTCAACAATTCTAGTTCAACTTTCCACTACTTTAGGGAGGTAGTACCTAAGCACCGCATCTTGAACTCCCAATTCTATCGGTTTGTGATAGAATTTCTGGAAGGAGGAAGAGCCCGGGGTCCAATTAGCCGCCTTAGTTATCGCTTGTAGGGAAACGCCTGCCTTGGCTGCTTTAGAGGTGGTGGCTGCTCTGGTCGAGTGCGCCCCGAACGACTTATCTACACCACTCAAGACAAGAAAATCTTTAACCCAGCGTGCCACTGTGGAAGGGGTAACCGCTTGATGCGGGACTCTAAGTGCAATCAACACTTGCCCCGTTTGGCCTCTTAGTGCTTCCGTTCTGTCTAGGTAATGCCTGAGTGTTCTCAATGGGCAGAGTGCTTTGTTGTCCGGGAACCCTTTGTAGATGATCTCGTGAGCCGGTCTCGAACCCCTGTTCTTCGTCATTGGTAGGGCGAACACTACCCTATCAGGGAAGAAGGTAGCATTTTCCACCGACAACGCAGCCAGCTCCGAAACTCTTTGAGGGCTACAGATAGTCAACAGCGTCACAGTTTTCTTCGTGAGCATTTCCAGGGACAGGTTTTTATTTTTTGGGTCCCAGGGATACAATTTTGTTGACCACTAGCGCTACGTCCCAGACTACTGCATACTTGGGCATGGGGGCTTCGACCGGAAAACTCCTTTCATAAAGCGCGTTAGTAGTTCACTGTTGAGCCTGCCCTCGGGATTCGTTAACATCTCCCAAAAGGTACAGATAGCCGCCTTGGCTGTGAGTACTGCTCAGTAGGACAATCCTTTTTCATTGATCGAGCTCAAATAATTCATAAGATCTACCGTGTTGGGGATGGTGGGGTTCTTATTCTCTCTGTCGCAGTATCGTGACCATGCTTTGAGGGCTGACTCATATTGTTTCCGAGTACCCGGAGCCCATGACTCGAGTAGCAAGCTTGCTGCTCTAGTGGAGAGGCCGAGATTTCGCCAATGGGCGGACAGATCCTCCAAGCCAATAATCCGAAGTTCGCTTTCTGCAAGATCGGGTGAGGATTGTCTAGGGCGTCTGTCAACAGGGGAACCCCCTTGAGTGGCTTCAAGGTAAGTGGTGGCTGTGTGGTCAGGCGTGCGGCCAGTGGAATCCAGCGTTGGTTTGTCCATGCTGGGGTGACTAAAATTAGATTGGCTGATTCTCTTTCCGCTTTCTCCAAAACCTTTCCGATTAACGAAAGGGCGGAAAAGCGTAGGCCAGTTCGTGGTCCCATTTGTATCTAAAGGCGTCTACACGAAAAGCCTCCGGGTCTGGGTGTAGAGAATAGAATTTGGGCAATTTTGCGTTTATCCTGGAGGCGAACAAGTCCACCGTGGGTACGCCCCAAATTTTAAACAGCCCATTGGTCACCACCCCGGATAGGTTAATTTCAAGATTATCCTTGAAATTTCGCGAGTAGAAATCCGCCTCAACGTTTTGGGCGCCTGGCCGATGGGTGGCTGCGATGGTTAAATGCCTTTCTCGAGCCCAAGACCATATTCGCGTTGCGATCTGAGATAGAGCTGGACTTCTGGTGCCGCCACACCTGTTTACGTAGGCAACAGCTGAGGTGTTGTCCAATTCCAAGAGGATGTGCGCATTGTGAAGCTCCTTAGCAAAGGTCTTCAAGCCCAAAAAGGCTGCTTCTAATTCAAGACAATTTATATGAGCCTTAGCTTCCTCTTTAGTCCAGCGACCCCCGCGCTGTGTCCCTCGCACACGGCTCCCCAGCCAGCTTTTGAAGCATCACTACTGATGATTCTATTATGGGATAGCGTCAACATTGAGAGCGGCCCTGCGTCTCCTAAGGTTTCACAGGCTTCTAGTAACTCTTTTCTTATGTCTTCCGAAATTCGGAGCGAGGAGTCACGGCCTTTGCGTCTAATGGTAGACGTAAGCTTCCTTTGTGTCTTACGGAGGAACAACGCAAGCCAGGGGATTGCTTGGGTGTAGTACACGAATTTTCCCACTACAGTCTCGAGTAAGTGGGTTTTTGTTTTCCCCTCCGTGCTCGCTAGCGTGGCCCTGGTTAAGGTTGTTAGAGCTTCTCGCTTTTGCACCGGGATCGCTAGACTAGGTGGCAACGATGACACGCAGAGACCCAGATACTCAATTGATTGCCGGGGGAATGTTAAAGACTTTTCCCAATTGATGGTAAACCCTAGTGAAATCAGCGTTTGTGAGGTCAAGTTCAAATCATGGATCGCTTCGTCTCTAGACGCGGCAGCTATGAGGATATCATCCAGATAGACTACGCATCTGACTCCCTGACTTCTCAAATAGTTTATGGGTACTTTCATCAGCTTGGTGAATACTCGCGGGCTGTCGTTTAACCCAAATGGGAGTACTGTGAACCTGTACGCCTTGGCTCCCACCTTGAACGCTAAGTAGGGGGTGTGCTCTTCGCAGATGGGTACGTGAAAGTATGCATCCTTCAAGTCTAGTTTCAGCAGGAAATCTCCTGAGCGAACTATCTCGCTTATTGATCGGACTGTATCCATTTTAAAATGGGTGTGTCGTAGTCGCTTGTTTAAAGGCTTCAGATTAATAATTGGCCTTAGCGACCCGTCTGGCTTGGGGACCGTAAAAATCCGAGAAAGGAAGATCGGTTCACCAATTTTGCATTCTACTATTGCGCCCTTGGCTTTCAGCTGATTAACTTCTACCGCAATAGCCTCTACTTGGGCGTTGGGTTCTACGCTGCCGTCTGCTGGAGTCAAAGCAGGGGAGGTCCATTAAATCTAAGCCGGTAGCCCCGTACTGGTTCTAGTAGGGATTCGCAGGGTGTCAGCGCTTTCCAAGCTGCTTGGAAGTGTTTTAATCTTCCCCCAATAGGTAACAAATTAAAATTGTACCTCGGTGCGGGTTGGCGCTCCTGACGATCCGCGCGAAGACGCTTGCTTGGAGGTCCCCCTTCTATGCGTCGTTGTCCCGATGACGCTCCTCGGGTGTCCTTTGCTGGTGTACGTAATCGTTTCAATTCTAAAGGCAAAAGTGAACACATGAAAGGACTTTTAAAAGCCACCCACTTGAAACTAAATCTGATCCTCCTCGCTCCTCGAGCTTCTTGATCAGCTTAGGGCCAAACAGTGGCGGACGATTCCCGCGGGTGGACTCCTCATGGACTTCCACGTCCAGGATTCCCTTTGCCGCTTCTGGCAAAACGTTGTGGATGTTAAGATGTAGCGCTCTAAAGAGAAACGATACTCTACTTACAGCGATCAACCTACTTGAACACATTATCTCGTTGCAGGTAGGTGAGCTGGGAGCAAAGGGCAGCCAGAATGTGTTCCACGGTGTCCAAGTAACTGACGGCTTTCTTCTCGTTTCCCAGCGAGAGTAGGTGTTTGCTAATTGAGACGCAACCAAGCGAACTTCTAACGGCTTCGTCAAAAGTCCTGGCCATGCTTGTTGAGAGTTGCATCCTTCCCGGTTGTGCGTCTCCTTGCAGTTGGCGGTCCAGGATTGGCGTATGTGCCAAGTGATGTCCCTGTGGAGACGGAACCTTCTCGAGGAACGTCTTCAAATCCGACAATCGCCACCCGTTTCCTCCTGCCTGAATGGCAAAATGTTTCACCGCCTCGTCCGGGAGCGGAAAGATTGGTCGTTCCGGTTGAAGTTCCACCGTCGGCGCTTCCGGAAAATTCTTCTCGCTTTCGTAGACCTTCGGGATCCTGTATCGGCCTCTGCTTGGAGAGCTATCTCGTGACGTTGAGCGAGAACGAGAGAGACGCTGGCGAGCGGTCACAGCTTTCCTCCGAGGAAGTCCTTGATCGCGATCTTGGCGACCTCGAATTTTGTCGAGAATGTGGCGCGGGCGGGGGCAACGACATCCATCCTCTAAAGAAAAAAGATTTTTATGGGGTCTTGAAGGTGGCACCCGGGAATGATTTGCTACGACCCAAAGGGCTCGTCAAGCTAAATCTACCCCACCTTGAGCGTGGCAAATCATTCCCGATTAGCCAAAAGCTTTACGCTCGAAAGAGAAAACACAACAAAAAGAATTGTTCTGCTAAAGCGAAATGAAGGTATAAACGTCGACCCCTCTGAGGAAAGCAACGTTTAAATGACGAGTAGATGTTCTAAGAGAACATGATGAACGGTTGAGAATAGTTCGCGCCGCGATGCTATTCAAAACCGGCGAGAAAACGGCTTGTCTCGAAAAAAAAGTGAGGTAATGAGAAAGGGCGTCGCCTTTTATAGGGCGATCCCGACACGGAGCATCGCGTACGCACTACGGTGCCGCTAGTGCCTTTTAGAAAATCACCGAAAACGGTGACTTGCTAAAGGTACGGAGTTAAAACGAGATAACGGTGGTTTTCGGCGAAAAATAGCAATTGTTGAGCTTTTAAGCTTGTGTAGTATAATTACACATTGCTAGTTTTTTACTTACATTTTGCAATGGTATTTAACTGTTTTTAAAATATAATAGTTTACAGTTATGGACAGAGTTTGGCTGTATCAATATTCTTTTCAGACATTCATTGATTGAAAAGGTTATGCCAAAATCAGAAGAATTGTTCAAGAACAAGAGGAGTAGAAATGCACGGATACATGGATTAAATTGAATGGAAAGAACACAAATAGACCCTGTTAAAGTTTTGGTTATTTTCGAGAAACGATTGAACCCCAGTAAAGATCTACTATTAAGTTAGTTTAATTGAATTCCTAGAAATTGAATTGTAAAGTTAAGATCTTGTATCCAAGCCCGCTTCTGGGCGATCAAAGAAATCGGCGGGAATCGGCCATAAGTAGTCGCTTACCGTAAGCGTACTCTGATTTCTCCATTTTGCTTAGTTTTTCACTCAAAACACTTGCTTCAATACCATATCCTTTCAATTCGATCGAATCAATGCGGACGATTCCATCGTTGTAAAGAAATATTCTTTGCGTGCTTGGTACTCTTCACTCAAGACACGTTATTTCTTGTTTTGAGATATCTGATCTCTCTTGAACTAAAAAAAGCACTTTATTCAATAGCCGATTGATTCGGAATCTTTGGGCTCTCACTTGAGCAACTTTCACACAATATCGACAATTGAATTAAAGTGACGATAAAAACAGAAGCAATTTCGTCCTAATTAGGACACAACTTTCACACAAAATCAGAGGATAGCAGAAAAAACAAATGAAAGATAACCAAAAAACAAATTCACAACAGTTGCCTTATATAGGCTTTAACACAAGATACTCAGCTAACAAGCTACAAAACAATAAATGATTTGGGGCGCGAAATAAAATGAAGGCGCACCGATTTCCTTAATATTTTTCCAATTTTTAGGCTGTCAGAGTTAGATAACTTTTAGTGGCTATTCGCCACAATCGTGTTCGCGATCATTTCGATGATGATCTGTGGGAACAAGAAAACCAGCTCGATCTTCTCGCAAAAAGTTTGGGATCTTTCGAAAGGGAAGCCCCGATTCAGCAATTATTGGATCGGTGGAATCTTCGGGGTTGTTTATTTTATGCGTATCGAATAACGTGACGTGAACATTGGTTTTTCATCATCAAATTTTGAGGACTTAATATGGTTTCGACCTTTATAAGCTGACGAGGGCTCAAGGCGAAGGAGTGTGACTGAGCTCAAGATCAACATATCGTTGATCGTTTCAACAGACCCTAAACTTCAACGTATCAGTACAATCGTATCTATAGACTCAAGAAGAATCTGTGAGCATAAGAAAACCATTCGATTTTTCTCGATCTTCTCTCAAGCAAACTGTCAAATTTCTCACTAGCTCTTCACAAATAAGTGCACCAGTCCATTCTTATTCATTTCTCTGTTCTTCAGTACGAAAAAAACTGCTTGTAAAACTATCAACGAATCGGCCCTAAAAAGAGTCCACCTTTTTTCAGTTTCAAAGCTTTTTTGTGGCGCATTAAAATTTCTGATCAGATTAACTCCTAAAAGTGAGAGCGTCTTTCTTGCTTTTTTTATAGAACAAACTTTGAACAGTTTGCATGGAGGTAATCCATTCTTTGTGACTCAAAAAAAGACTTGGCTCGTTTTACGACCATTCCCGAAATTGAGGAAATATTTCGTTTCGCGACCTTTACTCTTATCTCCCTGTTTCCGTACTTAAGCGCCGTCAAAGAGAAGAAGAAATGAAGTCTTCTTCATTCTTCATTCATTGCCCTTTTCTAATTTTTAATGATTTTATAGCTTTAGAGAAATGTTTCTTTTCAAACTTGGGCTTCTTAGCTTTCTCATAATCTTTGGGCGAATCGAGGCGCATTGGGTAGGCGTTCAGTCAGTCTTTAGGCGTTTGTTAAGGCTTAGGCTTAGGAGTCCAAACAGCAACAAAATATACCAGAATACATTGTGTGCTGCTAATCCTTACATCCCTAAACATGTTTTACTTTGAAAAATGGTCTAATTGAATTATCAAAAGACCGAGGATGAGGAGTGAGAAACAAATTTGGACAATTCTAAATGTGTACAAAATTGTAAATCATGATGCCAAGCTATGGCTATTATACTTTTAAGGTTAACATCGTCTCGAATTTGGATTATCTATAACAGTAGTATGATTGGCTTTAGATCGGAGAAGAGTACTGGACGATCATCGACTGGAATGGTGCCATTACTGATGGCCGATCGGTTGACGACTTTTTGGAGGTTTCTAATCGAAGATATGCATTGCTTGAATCGGATCATCGATCAAAATCATTGATAACTCGGATCATTGATAAAAATTCAGTTAAAAAACTTCTTTTCAGATCCCCGGACCAGATGGAGGCACAACGCCAAACGGATGGGTGGCTTATTGGCGAGTTTTTAGGAATCACTAATCCTTGAACATCTTTTCAAGTATCTCCCTTTCATGAGAAGTTTATTTTCTATCGTTAAACTAATCACATTTACAGGATAACCCGAACAAAGTACCCGGAGATCCACTACGAAGCGTTCGGCCATGCAATCAAAAGAGATGATGGACGGGTGAGTAGGGTTTTCGCAGGTTGATGACAAATGCAAGTACTAGGTAAATCTAAATCAATCGAAAATCCTTGCTACAATTAAAATCAAGAATTCACTTTCAGATCTGCGGCTATTTTGTTGGCGAGGAGGAAGAAGTTGTTGAGGTGTGCGCTGGCTTTCGAATTCTCTCCCGTCATCGAACTGATCAAGCTGATGCTAAAGTGTTGGTCACTTTGGCTATAACCTATTTTTTATAGCTGGTTTTATAGCAAAAAGCATAATTTTTGTACTTTATTATTTAGCTTTCAATGGGTGTTGGCCGGGCATGTGACGAATCGGGATGAGACAGTCGGATTCGTTCTTCATCGAATCGCCAGCACTAGACATGGGGAACAGGTGAGTCAATAAATAAAAGCATGATGTTTCTTCTGAAGAAGAGCTACATCAGGATAACTATTAAAATTGGTCTTTCTTTTGAACAAAACTACATTATCAGCACAACTTAAACCTCTCTTGTTTCACTTACAATTAGCAAAATGTCGATGAGCTTCCAGATCATTTACGGTGATGCGATGCTGTTGGACCGGCGATTCAAAGCCGTTCGACCAGCAGTGTTCGAGGATTCGATTATAAAAGTATCATTTTGTTTATATCTTTTTTATTTACACTTAATCTGCTTTATATTCTTTACCTTTGTCATCTTACATCCCGTTCAGATCGGTGTACACGAGTTTCCCTCAAGGGTTTACCTTCTTGTCAAGCTCACTCCCGAAGTTGGACCGATTCGAACCGGACTTTATGAAGTGACTTGGATCATTGAAAACATTTTAAAATATTCTATTCACAGGGTCACTACCACGATCCACACACAGATCATAAAGCTCACGGACGACATGGACACCCTTTGCCGCTTCACCGACCACGAGCTGTTGAGACTAGATCAGCTAGTGAGTAGTAGATGAATTGCTCACCATAATAAAGTAAAGGAATGGCAAAGGGAGATTTCTAGAGAGGGGATTGAACCCTCGACATTTTTGCTTTCCGGGCAGAGGCACTAACCACAAAGCTAGTCGGTATCTTCTTTCCAAAGAAAGAGGAAATACAAGGGGAAGAGAAAGGAAGAAAGAAAAGGAATTCATAAGTCAATTCTCAATTCAGTTTGCGCTCCCGGCTGGTACGGTAGGGAATGTTCGGAAAGATGCTCTGAAGGATGTGAATTTCCGGAGAGATGTGATTACACTTCGGGATACTGTTCAAGTTAGTTAGCATCATTAGATTCCAAGCTCTCGATTTCTGGAATTGTAGATCAATATGATGATTTCAGGGTGTAAACAAGGGTGGTACGGAAGTGGTTGCTCGCTAAGATGTTATGCAGGATGTGAGAGCTGTGATCAAAATACTGGTCACTGTTTGAGTGAGTCACTTTGATATGTCTCAAAACTAATTTGCTCTGTATTACGAATTTGTGCATTCCCTTGACGTGGCTAGACCTGTGCGCTTGAATGAATAGCAAAGCCAAGTTTATTCAATGCACGTGGGTCAAAGCGTGTGAAAATGTTTCAACGAAGCTCCAAGAAACAATGTGTTGACCCAGAAACAGAAAGGAATCACTTTGATGAAAATTGTGAAAGTACGAACAAAAGAAAACAACTTTCACAAGACCAAATAAGAGAAAATTCTGACTAAATGAGGAAGAAGGTGTTCTTTTATACGGGTGCGAGTGCGACATTGTTTAGGGTACGGTATTTCTGGTGTCTTATTAGACTGCGGCAGCTTTTTGGTGACTCGTCGTCAAAATATATGTACAATTTACACATTGCTATCTTTTTGTAACCGATTTTCTATAGAATGACTCGATTTAGGCTGTCGCTTTGGATATCAAGGTAGAGACTGCTCGACGAGATGCCCAGAAAATTGTGATGCCTGTGATCAATCAACTGGCTATTGTTTGCGTGGGTTTATCGGCAATTTCATCCTAAATTCTGTCCATTTTTATAATGCCAGTCAAGATTCCTAGCTTCTTAGATGCTTTAGGTTGTAAATATGGATGGTATGGTAGAGACTGCTCGGTGAGATGCCCTGCCGACTGCGAAACATGTGATCAGGCTTCGGGGCAGTGCATCAGTGAGTGAAAATAGAAACAAATTGGCTTAATAAATTAAAGATTTCAAATAACACAATTAAATGCAATAGAAAGCTGACAAAAGTTTAGACTTCCGAGCTCGTCCACCTCCATCTCAACCTCAATTTTCACCACTTCCAAAAGGCTGTCACCGAGTGGTCACCAAGGATGGCCGAGAATTTGTGGTCACTTAATCCACATCAAAATTTGCGAACCCCTATTTAGAGCTGTTATCCGTATCACCGTTCTTCAAACAATACTAACGATAATGACAGAGTGGAAGCATGGGACAAACGCCTACAAGATCCAAGATCAAATCCAGTTAACCGTAACTACGATCCAATGTATAATAGTGGGCTTTTTTTGATTTATTGTTTGATGTTTCAGTTTTGATCCACGCTCTTCACTCTACGATCCACGATACAACCCATTTGATCCACAGTATGATGTTGAGAAAGACAGGGAGTGAGTGATGAACGATTGGATTCAAAGGATAAAGATTAATTTATGCATGCATAGACAAAGCATATATACTGCATTAATATAATAGTTGAACAATATTGTATAATAGTAGAATTTTAGGGAATTCTGGACAAAAAATCATTGAAATATTTCAGATGGCGGGCCGCCAACGAGGTAACTGAGGATCATTCGGTGAGTTGGAATGTTCATGAACTGAAATGAGCTGTGCAAGTGTCTAGTTATCTAACAGAACACTAAATAAACAAATTTCATTAGCTAGCTACTGAAATTGCCTTTTTTTCATTTCAATCATGTGCTTTGAGTACGACAACGTTTCAGGATCACGATCACTCTTAAGGAAGATCACGATGAATTTGTGCAAAATGATGAATGATGAACCTTTTTAAATCAAATAAATTTTACAAGAATGCAAGCGTTTTGAAATTACGCACAAATTTGGAAGCACCTGCTTTATAGAAATGCTTTTAAAACAAAAAATCGGCGCTCAACTTTATTTTCCAAGACACATTGCAGGACACATTGTACATCATCACAGCCAAGACACCAAGACACATTGTAATTAGACAATGTTAAGGCAAAAAAAACAAAACTCTTTATTTGTTTAACGTTATGCCATGTTTGTAGTCATCAAAAACTCAAAAACACTCATCTTTCTCGGAGTCTCAAGATCAACTTTGTGTCTAACAATGACAAAAACGAATTTCTTGTCTTTTAAATCGATTGATGCTACACGATCTCTTCTTTTATTTGGATCCGGTAAATCCAAATAAATAAAACGACGATCAGTTTTCTCATAGTGAAACTGAAGAAATTGAAAAGAAATCTCAGCATATTGTGGGTTTTGTAGAAATCGTAGATTCTGATCTGATCCCTCAAGTTTTAGGGTTTCTTGTCGGAATGCTCTTGAAATCACTTTACAGATTACAGTGTAGAGTTTAAGGTAATCAATGACAGATTGACTAGCGCAATCATAGTATTTCAGACGGTATTTCTCGGGAATCCCTTCAGGGAATCCACCGCTCACCCCGCAAATCGGAGTACACTTGCACTCGTGTCTTGGTGGGGATTTTAGTTGAAAGATATAGCCAGGTATTGGCAGATCTAGGCCTTGAGTAAAGGATTTTGTTTGAACAGAGTTCTCAGTGAGATATGAACGAGTTTGTAACTGAAAGCACCTCTCCAGACGGTACTTTGCCCGATTCAATCCAGTCACCATCACATCCAAATCGAGTGGCAAATTCTCCATAAACTCTAACTTGTCAAAGTTGGCCTCGTTTGGCATAAGAAAGACCTCTTCCGATCTCCATTTTCCTTCAAATCCTCTCACTTCACTTAAATCTTTCCGAATGAATCGACACTTTGAGTTGCTTCTATCTTTTGATGGCAACAATTTCTCCAGCAACAGCCATTCTTCTTTTAATGACGTCGAAAAATAACACTTTAAATAGATTCTCTTTGAGTATTGCAATCGCAATTGATTCAGTAATGAGATCACCTCGTCAAATCGCTCATACAGATCCCAGTAGCCTGTGGATGCCTTTGAAATCTCTTCCAGGCAATGAAAAGCAGCTATATACACTTCATTCTGTGCTCGAAAATCCCTTTTCAACACCATTTCAAGGAATTCCTCAACTGTGTGCTCCGCAAAAGATCTTCGTAACTTGAGAGCTCTCGGTCGTTGACTTATATCGAAAATATATGGTTGTTGAACTTGATCTTGTACAATGTCAGAAATTCTCTGGAGAAAATTCTCCTTTTCCTCATCAGTCGAATTGTCAAACTTTCGTTCGAGAAGTTCTCTTCCCTTTTTCACTAATTGATTCACGTGTTGCTGAGGGTTTTTGAAAAAATTGATAAGCATCTCATCGCTTAGATCATCTTGATCTTCTTTTACTGGAGAAAAAGGAGTAATTGAGGAAGCGGCAAATGTTGAGCCGGTCTTTTCGAGAGCAGTTATCGGAGATTTTTGAAAAGTGTTATCAAAACCAATCGGTCGAATGATAGTTCGCTGTTCTTCATCTATGAATGGTTGGAAATCGTAGCGGGTGTATTCCTAAATGGTAAATTAGACTGGAATCCTCATTTAAATGGATTCAGAATAGTCAAGCCTTACCGAGCTTAAAAGATCCAAATCACAGACCACTTGTGCAGCTGCGGCGCGTTGTTGATAATCGAAATGAGTGCATCTGAATAAGTCTTCTCATTTTAACTCTAATGGAATCTATTCAGTCTTTCAGTCTTCTCAAAATATAATCAAATTCACACGTTCACGACGAACCTTTCGATTAATTGTTGAAGAGCAAGATCACATTTGGGAGGTGACAACGAATCGACTCGTTCATGCCAAACTTTATGAATAAAAGTGTTCCAATCGAAATGATTGATCCCTCTTGCATCTTTCTGTATATAAGCCTCAAAAGCCATTCTGAAATTGAAATTTTGCTACTGGTAGATGTGGGTAAAACCTTCTCTCAATAAGTTCCCATAGAACAAGGCCAGCTCCATAGACATCGTTTTTCGATGTAGCCTGGGATAAGTCTTGTAAACTGTCTTATTTAGAGCAACTCACCAAGCAAGGAGCTGTTAGCCCAATTGCTTCGGGAGCCATAAATCGATAGGTTCCTGCAACGGTTGCAGAACAAGTTCTCTCATTGATACGAATGCAGCCAAAATCGCACAATTTCACCACATAGTCACCGGTAACCAAAATGCTAAAGTTTAATTTTAATTGAATACAACATTTATGTACAATGAAATAATGGATTGTACTACTTCAAGCAATGAAATTGGTAGTAGTCGTTGAGTAATCAGTCTTGATATGAGTTAGACTTCAGTTTCAAATCTGAGCTATTTGATTGTTGAGTTTGGGGTGCGACCCGCTTTAACCTTATCATCGAGGATGATTCTGCTTAAGAATGACCGAATAGCACAAGAGGTTAAAAGGGTTTCCCCAAAGCGCTTACAACGTAACAAGAACACGTAGTATCTAACATAAGATTAATACTCGTCGGTGGCGACACAAATGTTAGTAAGCTCTCTCTACAATGTTAAACCAGTTATCTAAACAGGAAGTTAAAACCTGAAGGGTAGCATAAAGTAAGTTGAATTTATAATTTTACTGTTTATTAGTACAAAACCAAAATGCAACAATACCCATTAAAAAAACAGCATGCGCATCAATAGAAACAACAAAGTCCCCCCAGAAAGAAGGCAAAAACCTCCAGACCAGAAAAAACAATTTTGAGAAGGGAGCAAAAAAGACGAAAAATGCGACGCGAATAATTGCAAACTGGCAACGCAAATAGGAAGGAAACGGACCCGACCGTTGATTTGAGATCTCAACAGAGGTTGGTTTATCTTGTTAAATCTTACTTTTCCGTTTTCACATCTCTATGAAATGAGCAATGTTTAGCCAAATAATCAAGAGCATCAAACATTTGTTTACCCCATTCGATCACCGTTTTCATCGAGTAGATCAACTTTGAGTCAAAGATTACTAAAATTTAAAGTTAGTACCTTTACTTATTCATGTATCACCTTTATTTAACGATCCTCTCTCGCAATACTCAAGTAAAATCCCGTTAGTGTGCCCGTTTTTCGAAGTTCTCGGCGCTTTCCCGAAATACTCGACAATATTTCGATGCTTGAAGTTCTCCAGAGCTTTGCATTCTTTCTCAAACACTTCTTCGTGATTTTCATTTTGTAAAAAGAAATATTTGACAACTGTTGGTCTAAAACAAAACGTTTCATTTCTATTTGATGATTTCAACACTTACCGAAGTTGACCTTTCACCAAATAAATGCATCCATATGCACCGTAGCTTAGCAATTTATCCTCAACAGAAATGTCGTTGATCATTAAATGAAAATGAATGAATCTATTTGATTTGTAAGAGCCAATATAGCTTGGTATTACACAATAATTTGGCTGAAAAAATGCGGTTCAATTTGGTGTTTGCGTTGTGCAATCAAAATCCTTATTTCGAAAGGAAAATCAATTTTAGGAAGCAAAGCCAAAGGCCAGGCAGTCATAAAGGTTTCAAAAGGCTCAAGTAAATTTTTCACATCGCATCGCGAATCGCAAGAATTGAAAGAACACTCATGTTTGAGAAAACGAATAAGAATCGACGAATCGAATCATTTTCCCTTGCTTCCCGATGTCCTTTTATATTGTACCAATGGAGCCAAGCAACACATTGACATTATCTACACTGATCTAAAGCAAGGTATGCTATTGATAGAAAAGGAAAAGAAATTCAAGCATTTCAACAGAGATTATGAAGAAGAGTTTAGGGAAAGTGTCCAGCAGACATGATATCGGTGATTGTAAAAGTGCTCGAAAGGGGCTTTGGAAAAAAGAAATATTTGCGGCTGCGGTGGCTAAAAGTAATAATTGGCACCTTTTGGTTTACTTTAGTTACCAGCTACAAGAATCGCAAGAATTGAAAGAACACTCATGTTTGATAGAACGAATGAGAATCGACGGATCGAATGATTTTCCTTGCTTTCCCATGTATTATTATATTAATTTGGACCAGATACTGATAAACTTTCTGTTTAATCCCAGTTGATATTTCGGTTCATAAAGGGTTCAAAAGGCTCAAGGAAAATTTTTCTAAATAAATTAAGTGATTGATGAAGAAGAAATTGAATGTAAAAGTTTTGATACTTTTCGGTTATCCAGAATACCTGAAATCATTTATTAATGTATATTGCATATGAAGAAACGTTTTTGCATTTAACATTTGGTTAAATGACATTTTTGGTTTTTTTTTGGCTTTGGCATTATACAATATACAATTCTTTTTTGGTTGAGCCAATTCGGCTAAGTTTGACGTTTTCATTGTGCATTCGAATTCCAGATTCCAGAGATGAATCAATTTCGTGACAAAGAATACCCTCTAGTCGATTTTCAGATAATCAATCAAATTACTTTGCCGTAATAAACTGGAAAGAGATAAGCTGGAAAAATTGACAGACGAATCAGTCAATCAAGTACTCCCTATTTGTCTAACTATTCAATTGTGTGAATTGCAAAAATTTGAAAGATTCCGATTTATTGCACCATTTTTGGAAGACATTTAACAAAAACAAAAAGTCGTTCACTTATAACACATTAAGTTTACAAATATTTGCACATAACATTTGTCTAAACTGAATTGATCGATGTTTTTTGACCTGTCTCTTCAAAGACTCCATTGAGATGAGTAATTCTTTGGGGCGATCGAGATCGAGAAAGGGGGCAATAGATTCATCAATTCCTCCACTTTGAGTCGTTCATCTCTGAAAAGTTTAATCAAGGCTGGGCGGATATTCGGATCCAAATCCGAGATCCGGAATACGACATTTGTTGTGCCAGTGACCAAAAAGAGAGAAAGCTTCATGTATTTATTTACTGGGCCAAGTGCTCAACGGTTTTCACAAATGAACGTATAAGAGTATTTTCATCGTTGTTAGTTTGGTTCTTGTTATTGCACATGTCACCACTGCAGCAGTGATGTCGGACTTTCCCAAAGATGTTGATGCCCTCGTGCTGAAGTGGGTTCAAGATAAAATATAGGAATTCTTGTATGCCTAATCATTCTTATTGAAATTATCACCCCGCAAAGGTTAATCGGCGCCCCAGACTCGGGAATAAAACATCCGCAACTCCAGACGTATTTGTTGTCTGGCTGAACGTTATTTAATTCAAAGAATGTAAAATTAGCAAACTTGGAAGTAATACGATACGCAGTAGTCGCCACATAGGCAGGTGGACGATCGCTAAAATTGCTGAATCGTAGTCTAGTTGGAAATTTAAAAAATAAAATATTTAGATAGTTAGATCAATGGTTTTACTAGTCTCTTCAGTCAACTCAAAACTTTAAAATGTAAATAACTTTCAACAATACCTCGGAACCATCAAGCTGAGGACTATCCTTGAAAGTTTCAACACACTCCAGAGCCACCGTGACCTGGATCAAGGCTAGCACGAGAAAGATTGTCTTCATCTAAAGTTTCTTTGTAAATACTTAATTTAAAGTCTAAAGTAAGTCTTGGACATCAGTATCTTTTGAAGAAGAATCAAAGCGCCCAAAGGCAGTAAAATTTTGAGTAGAAAACACAATGAAAATAAAATGAAAAGAAATTGAAATCATAGCTTAAAGTGACTCAAGTCGAGGAATTCTTGAAGAGATTCGTCACGCTCCAATTAGAACAAATGAAGAAAATGATAAGTTTCTTGCTTTTAACATCTAGAGCTCAATGCTATCGGATGTATATCGGATGCTATCGGACAACTTGAAAGTTGGTACACTTGTTCCACGCACTTTTTAGAGATAACTAGTGCACGAATTAATCTACATTTTCTACTTTTTCTATAAAATGGGCCATTTATTCTCTAAAACAGGCTTTTGACAGATTTAGAAAAGCTTTGGTTTTATAGGTTTCTAGGGGGCAAGAAGTTGAGGATCCAAAAATGATGAACACTCGATGAAGGGATTTGAGCACGTTCTTCCACATAAACCTACTTTAGTGTCAATAAGAAAAGAGAACGAGTTAGATAAATAGCCAAATTTTCAGCTAGATCTAATCAATCGCTTTTGTTATAGTGGCATTTGAAGAATTTTCAGAGAAATTTGAATTTCTGCTCAAATTCGTCTCAGTTCCCCAAATTTGCTTAAGCATGGCTTAAATTAGATAAAATATAACTTTTATTGAGAGAAGTTTAATTGAATTGGCGTATTAAATATGTTTTATAGAAAATAGGAAAAAGTGTACCAACTTTCAAGTTGCCAATCTAATAGTTGTTGATTTTCACTAAAACGATTGCTATTTTATACCAATCGGCTCTACATTTTCTCTATTGTTTAGGCAAAATAACAAAGATGATTAATTTTCTGGACAAAGAAACTATTGAAAACGTTGATTACTGTTTATGTTGAGCTGTCACTTCCATGAAAAAATGAATTTTGTGTTTTCGCTTAAAAGTCTTCTTTTCATTGCGCCTTTTGGCTCCAAATCAAAAAATACCTTTTTGTGCATATTTCTCGCAAATAAAGTAGGGTTTATTGGTTGGCAGAGAAAATTGAAAGATACACTCTAATTGCATAAAAAGTGACTAGAAGAATATCAATCAGAACGAGCAACAATGTTAGTACAGCTAGAGACAAAACAAAACAAAATTTCAATCGCCTTCCTTGACTTGTTTAATTCTTGTGGTTCCTTATGCCCCGATTGAGTCGTGAATGTAGGACTCAATCTCGGTCAGCGAATTCCAACGACCGGCGGCGACAAAGAGCTTTGAGTGACGGTGCTTTGAGTGCTTTGAGTGATTTAATTCTTGTGGTTCCTCCTAAGCCTTCCTCCTAAATTTTTTGCTCAAAGAAATTATTGAAAACGTTGATTACTGTTTATGTTGAGCTGTCACTTTCATGAAAAGATCAATTCTTTCCCATTTTTTGTAACAGGTAGGTTGTAAGTGCATGAATCTTAAGTTGAAATATCGTTACGTTTTTGGTAAATAATTCTGTAAGAATAAGATTTCATTTACATGTCAAATCTTGAGTAAAACAGAGATTGAGAAATGAGAGCTGAATCCAAATCTAGATCCAAATCCAAATGAGATCCAAATCTATAAGGCTTTTTTTGACACATTTACAATCTCTTTAATACAAGAATTACCGCAACAACGTCGTATTATGTTATGAGCCCCATTTCACTTTTTGCTTACCTGTTTTCATGGTAAGTAAAAAGTGGTTTTTGTGTATTTTTCTTACCCTCGATGATGCCTATTTGCTCACCACAGTCAACGCGTTTCCCAAACGTTTGCGGGTCTGAATGCCGATGGAGGCAAAGTTGAGTTTAATTGTTAATTTATTACTGTTATATGTTGAATAAAGATATTTAAGTTAACTTTTCGAGATGGGTTGCATACTTGGTTAAAAGCCAGGCCTTTTTTGTGTTGCGGTAATCCTTGGTCACCCTGTAGTCAGATTAATCACATGATCAATGACACGATTGATCCTCTCTTGTTCATTGAGTTCAGAAAACTATATTCTTTAAAGAGTTCTCAACTCTAAAGATCAAAAATTTAAGAGTTCAGAAACTTCTTTCTTGCTCAAAAGGTGTTAAAGCCCAGAGATTTTTGACCCTTTAACGTTTGACTCAGAGAAGTAATGATTCAGTCTAGCCTAGAAACATCACTGAAGGCCTGATCTGACCTATCTGCTGCATTTGTTCATTAAGGTATTCAATTTTAAATCTATTTGTCTTTCTGTCATACGGTAAATTCTAACGTCCAATAATTTAAGAATACGCCTTTATGGTTTGAGCATTTACATGAGGAAAAACGAGGAACAATACTTAGCAAACATTTTGTTAAAACATTTCCTTTGTTGGGAAATTTAAGAGGAACCACAAGAATTAAATAAGCCAAGAAAGGTGATTGAAATTTTGTTTTGCTTTGTCTCTAGCTGTACTAACATTGTTGCTCGTTCTGATTGATATTCTTCTAGTCACTCTTTATGCAATCAGAGTGTATCTTTCAATTCTCTCTGTTAACCAATAAACCTTACTTTATTTGCGAGAAATTGCACAAAAAGGTATTTTGTGATTTGAAGCCAAAAGGCGCGATGAAAAGAAGACTTTTAAGCGAAAACACAAAATTCATTTTTTCATGGAAATGACAGCTCAACATAAACAGTAATCAACGTTTTCAATAATTTCTTTCAGCAAAAAATTAATCATCTTTGTTATTTTACCTAAAGAATAAAGAAAATTGATATAAAGTGACAATCGTTTTAGTGAAAATCAACAACTATTAGATTGGCAGCTTGAAAGTTGGTACACTTTTTCCTATTTTCTATAAAACATTTTTAATACGCCAATTCAATTAAACTTCTCTAAATAAAAGTTATATTTTGTCTAATTTAAGCCATGCTTAAGCAAATTTGGGGAACTTCTGAGACGAATTTGAGCAGAAATTCAAATTTCTCTGAAAAGCGATTGATTAGATCTAGCTGAAAATTTGGCTATTTATCTAACTCGTTTTCTTTTCTTATCGACACTAAAGTAGGTTTATGTGGAAGAACGTGCTCAAATCCCTTCATCGAGTGTTCATCATTTTTGGATCCTCAACTTCTTGCCCCCTGGAAACCTATAAAACCGAAGCTTTTCTAAATCTGTCAAAAGCCTGTTTTAGAGAATAAATGGCCCATTTTATTGGTAGAAAATGTAGATTAATTCGTTCACTAGTTATTTCCAAAAAGTGTGTTGAACAAGTGTACCAACTTTCAAGTTGTCAGCCTAATACATCCGATAGCATTGAGCTCCAGCTGTTAAAAGCAAGAAACATCATTTTCTTCATTTGTTCTAATTGGAGTGTGACGAATCTCTTCAAGAATTCCTCGACTTGAATCACTTTAAGTTATGATTTCAATTTCTTTTCATTTTATTTTCATTGTATTTTCTACTCAAATTTTACTGCCTTTGGGCGCTTTGATTCTTCTTCAAAAGATACTGATGTCAAAGACTTACTTTAGACTTTAAATTAAGTATTTACAAAGAAACTTTAGATGAAGACAATCTTTCTCGTGCTAGCCTTGATCCAAGTCACGGTGGCTCTGGAGTGTGTCGATGCTTTGAAAGATAGTCCTCAGCTTGATGGTTCCGAGGTATTGTTGAAAGTTATTTCCATTTTAAAGTTTTGAGTTGACTGAAGAGACTAGTGAAACCATTGATCTAACTATCTAAATATTTTATTTTTTTAATTTCCAACTAGACTACGATTCAGCAATTTTAGCGATCGTCCACCTGCCTATGTGGCGACTACTGCGTATCGTATTACTACCAAGTTTGCTAATTTTACATTCTTTGAATTAAATAACGTGCAGCCAGAGAACCTATACGTATGGACTTGCGGCTGTTTGATTCCCGGGTCTGAAGCGTCGGTGAACTTATGCAAGGTGATAATTTCAATAAAAATAATTAGGCATACTCAAGAATTCCTATATTTTATCTTGAACCCACTTCAGCACGAGGGCTTCAACAAAGTTGGGAACGTCCGACCTCACTGCTGCAGTGGTGACATGTGCAATAAGAGCCAAACTATATTATGAAAATACTCTTATACGTTCATTTGTGAAAACCGTTGAGCACTTGGCCCAGTAAATAAATACATGAAGCTTTCTCTCTTTTTGGTCACTGGCACAACAAATGTCGTATTCCGGATCTCGGATTTGGATCCGAATATCCGCCAGCCTTGATTAAACTTTTCAGAGATGAACGACTCAAAGTGGAGGAATTGATGAATCTATTGCCTCCTTTCACGATCTCGATCGCCCCAAAGAATTACTCATCTCAATGGAGTCTTTGAAGAGACAGGTCAAAAAACATCGATCAATTCAGTTTAGACAAATGTTATGTGCAAATTTTTGTAAACTTAATGTGTTATAAGTGAACGACTTTTTGTTTTTGTTAAATGTCTCCCAAGAATTGTGCAATAAATCGGAATCTTTCAAATTTTCGCAATTCACACAATTCAATAGTTAGACAAATGTTAAAAAGTTAAATGCAAAAATGTTTCTTTAGATGCAAATTACATTAATATAAGATTTCAGGTATAACAGAAAACAGAAAAGTACCAAAATATTTACTTTCAATTTCTTTCAATTCTTGCGATTCGCGATGCGATGTGAAAAATTTACTTGAGCCTTTTGAAACCTTTATGACTGCCTGGCCTTTGGCTTTGCTTCCTAAAATTGATTTTCCTTTCGAAATAAGGATTTTGATTGCACAACGCAAACACCAAATTGAACCGCATTTTTTCAGCCAAATTATTGTGTAATACCAAGCTATATTGGCTCTTACAAATCAAATAGATTCATTCATTTTCATTTAATGATCAACGACATTTCTGTTGAGGATAAATTGCTAAGCTACGGTGCATATGGATGCATTTATTTGGTGAAAGGTCAACTTCGGTAAGTGTTGAAATCATCAAATAGAAATGAAACGTTTTGTTTTAGACCAACAGTTGTCAAATATTTCTTTTTACAAAATGAAAATCACGAAGAAGTGTTTGAGAAAGAATGCAAAGCTCTGGAGAACTTCAAGCATCGAAATATCGTCGAGTATTTCGGGAAAGCGCCGAGAACTTCGAAAAACGGGCACACTAACGGGATTTTACTTGAGTATTGCGAGAGAGGATCGTTAAATAAAGGTGATACATGAATAAGTAAAGGTACTAACTTTAAATTTTAGTAATCTTTGACTCAAAGTTGATCTACTCGATGAAAACGGTGATCGAATGGGGTAAACAAATGTTTGATGCTCTTGATTATTTGGCTAAACATTGCTCATTTCATAGAGATGTGAAAACGGAAAAGTAAGATTTAACAAGATAAACCAACCTCTGTTGAGATCTCAAATCAACGGTCGGGTCCGTTTCCTTCCTATTTGCGTTGCCAGTTTGCAATTATTCGCGTCGCATTTTTCGTCTTTTTTGCTCCCTTCTCAAAATTGTTTTTTCTGGTCTGGAGGTTTTTGCCTTCTTTCTGGGGGGACTTTGTTGTTTCTATTGATGCGCATGCTGTTTTTTTAATGGGTATTGTTGCATTTTGGTTTTGTACTAATAAACAGTAAAATTATAAATTCAACTTACTTTATGCTACCCTTCAGGTTTTAACTTCCTGTTTAGATAACTGGTTTAACATTGTAGAGAGAGCTTACTAACATTTGTGTCGCCACCGACGAGTATTAATCTTATGTTAGATACTACGTGTTCTTGTTACGTTGTAAGCGCTTTGGGGAAACCCTTTTAACCTCTTGTGCTATTCGGTCATTCTTAAGCAGAATCATCCTCGATGATAAGGTTAAAGCGGGTCGCACCCCAAACTCAACAATCAACTAGCTCAGACTTGAAACTGAAGTCTAACCCATATCAAGACTGATTACTCAACGACTACTACCAATTTCATTGCTTGAAGTAGTACAATCCATTATTTCATTGTACATAAATGTTGTATTCAATTAAAATTAAACTTTAGTATTTTGGTTACCGGTGACTATGTGGTGAAATTGTGCGATTTTGGTTGCATTCGTATCAATGAGAGAACTTGTTCTGCAACCGTTGCAGGAACCTATCGATTTATGGCTCCCGAAGCAATTGGGCTAACAGCTCCTTGCTTGGTGAGTTGCTCTAAATAAGACAGTTTACAAGACTTATCCCAGGCTACATCGAAAAACGATGTCTATGGAGCTGGCCTTGTTCTATGGGAACTTATTGAGAGAAGGTTTTACCCACATCTACCAGTAGCAAAATTTAAATTTCAGAATGGCTTTTGAGGCTTATATACAGAAAGATGCAAGAGGGATCAATCATTTCGATTGGAACACTTTTATTCATAAAGTTTGGGTGGAACGAGTCGATTCGTTGTCACCTCCCACATGTGATCTTGCTCTTCAACAATTAATCGAAAGGTTCGTCGTGAACGTGTGAATTTGATTATATTTTGAGAAGACTGAAAGACTGAATAGATTCCATTAGAGTTAAAATGAGAAGACTTATTCAGATGCACTCATTCCGATTATCAACGACGCGCCGCAGCTGCACAAGTGGTCTGTGATTTGGATCTTTTAAGCTCGGTAAGGGTTGACTATTCTGAAACCATTTAAATGAGGATTCCAGTCTAATTTACCATTTAGGAATACACCCGCTACGATTTCCACCATTCATAGATGAAGAACAGCGAACTATCATTCGACCGATTGGTTTTGATAACACTTTTCAAAAATCTCCAATAACTGGTCTCGAAAAGACCGGCTCAACATTTGCCGCTTCCTCAATTACTCCTTTTTCTCCAGTAAAAGAAGATCAAGATGATCTAAGCGATGAGATCCGAAATCCGGAATACGACATTTGTTGTGCCAGTGATCAAAAAGAGAGAAAGCTTCATGTATTTATTTACTTGGCGAAGTGCTCAACGGCTTTCACAAATCAACGTATAAGAGTATTCTCATAGTTGCTAGTTTGGTTCTTGTTATTGCACATGTCACCACTGCAGCAGTGAGCTCGGATGTGCGCCGCAAAGATGTTGACGCCCTCGTGCTGAAGTGGGTTCAAGGTAAAATATAGGAATTCTTGAGTATGCCTAATTATTCTTATTGAAATTATCACCTGCAAAAGTTCATCGTCGCTCCAGAATCGGTAACCCAACAGGCGCAACTCCAGATGTATCTGTGCTCTACATTCAAAGAATGTAAAATTAGCAAACTCGGTAGTAATACGATACGCAGTAGTTGCCACATAGGCAGGTGTCCGATCGCTAAAATTGCTGAATCGTAGTCTAGTTGGAAATTTAAAAAATAAAATATTTAGATAGTTAGATCAATGGTTTTACTAGTCTCTTCAGTCAACTCAAAACTTTAAAATGTAAATAACTTTCAACAATACCTCGGAACCATCAAGCTGAGGACTATCCTTCAAAGCATCGACACACTCCAGAGCCACCGTGACTTGGATCAAGGCTAGCACGAGAAAGATTGTCTTCATCTAAAGTTTCTTTGTAAATACTTAATTTAAAGTCTAAAGTAAGTCTTTGACATCAGTATCTTTTGAAGAAGAATCAAAGCGACCAAAGGCAGTAAAATTTGAGTAGAAAATACAATGAAAATAAAATGAAAAGAAATTGAAATCATAACTTAAAGTGATTCAAGTCGAGGAATTCTTGAAGAGATTCGTCACACTCCAATTAGAACAAATGAAGAAAATGATGTTTCTTGCTTTTAACAGCTGGAGCTCAATGCTATCGGATGTATTAGGCTGACAACTTGAAAGTTGGTACACTTGTTCAACACACTTTTAGAAATAACTAGTGCACGAATTAATCTACATTTTCTACTTTTTCTATAAAATGGGCCATTTATTCTCTAAAACAAGCTTTTGACAGATTTAGAAAAGCTTTGGTTTTATAGGTTTCTAGGGGGCAAGAAGTTGAGGATCCAAAAATGATGAACACTCGATGAAGGGATTTGAGCACGTTCTTCCACATAAACCTACTTTAGTGTCAATAAGAAAAGAGAACGAGTTAGATAAATAGCCAAATTTTCAGCTAGATCTAATCAATCGCTTTTGTCATTGTTGCATTTGAAGAATTTTCAGAGAAATTTGAATTTCTGCTCAAATTCGTTTCAAAAGTTCCCCAAATTTGCTTAAGCATGGCTTAAATTAGATAAAATATAACTTTTATTTAGGGAAGTCTAATTGAATTGGCGTATTAAATATGTTTTATAGAAAATAGGAAAAAGTGTACCAACTTTCAAGTTGCCAATCTAATAGTTGTTGATTTTCACTAAAACGATTGCTATTTTATACCAATCGGCTCTATTTTCTCTATTGTTTAGGCAAAATAAAAAAGATGATTAATTTTTTGCTCAAAGAAATTATTGAAAACGTTGATTACTGTTTATGTTGAGCTGTCACTTCCATGAAAAAATGAATTTTGTGTTTTCGGTTAAAAGTCTTCTTTTCATTGCGCCTTTTGGCTTCAAATCACAAAATACCTTTTTGTGCAATTTCTCGCAAATAAAGTAAGGTTTATTGGTTAACAGAGAGAATTGAAAGATACACTCTGATTGCATAAAGAGTGACTAGAAGAATATCAATCAGAACGAGCAACAATGTTAGTACAGCTAGAGACAAAGCAAAACAAAATTTCAATCACCTTTCTTGGCTTATTTAATTCTTGTGGTTCCTCTTAAATTTTTTGCTCAAAGAAATTTTTGAAAACGTTGATTACTGTTTATGTTGAGCTGTCACTTTCATGAAAAGATCAATTCTTTCCCATTTTTTGTAACAGGTAGGTTGTAAGTGCTTGAATTTTAAGTTGAAATATCGTTAAGTTTTTGGTAAATAATTCTGTAAGAATAAGATTTCATTTACATGTCAAATCTTGAGTAAAACAGAGATTGAGAAATGAGAGCTGAAAAAAGAGATCCAAATCTATAAGGCTTTATTTTGACACATTTACAATCTCTTTAATAAAGGATGACCAAGAATTACCGCAACAACGTCGTATTATGTTATGAGCCCCATTTCACTTTTTGCTTACCTGTTTTCATGGTAAGTAAAAAGTGGTTTTTGTGTATTTTTCTTACCCTCGATGATGCCTATTTGCTCACCACAGTCAACGCGTTTCCCAAACGTTTGCGGGTCTGAATGCCGATGGAGGCAAAGTTGAGTTTAATTGTTAATTTATTACTGTTATATGTTGAATAAAGATATTTAAGTTAACTTTTCGAGATGGGTTGCATACTTGGTTAAAAGCCAGGCCTTTTTTGTGTTGCGGTAATCCTTGGTCACCCTGTAGTCAGATTAATCACATGATCAATGACACGATTGATCCTCTCTTGTTCATTGAGTTCAGAAAACTATATTCTTTAAAGAGTTCTCAACTCTAAAGATCAAAAATTTAAGAGTTCAGAAACTTCTTTCTTGCTCAAAAGGTGTTAAAGCCCAAAGATTTTTGACCCTTTAACGTTTGACTCAGAGAAGTAATGATTCAGTCTAGCCTAGAAACATCACTGAAGGCCTGATCTGACCTATCTGCTGCATTTGTTCATTAAAGTATTCAATTTGAAATCTATTTGTCTTTCTGTTATACGGTAGATTCTAACGTTCAATAATTTAAGAATACACCCTTATGGTTTGAGCATTTACATGAGGAAAAACGAGGAACAATACTTAGCAAACCTTTTGTTAAAACATTTCCTTTGTTTGGGAAATGATAGAAATGATAAAAAGATAGTCAGAGAGCTCATGTTTGCAATTTTCAAAGGTCAATCAACACCCGATATTTAAACGATAGAATACAAGAATGGAGTGTTTGCCTTTTGCTGCTTCTTTTCCTTCACGCACCCACTCCTTTCCCCATATAGCAAAGAAACCATGAAAAATTCAACGCAAAAATGAAGCTCAATCTTTGCAAATGAAAAAGTATCTATCTTTGGGTACAGTAAAAACGGAACAGTTAAAAGTGCTCGTAGAAATCTTCACTTTTTCGCATCAATGCACCATGCATTAGCTTTCACTTTTATATTCTGAATATCAAAATGTTTAGGGGTAAGTAATTGATACATTGACTCAAAATCGATTTTTGAAACAACTTGCGAGAAATTGCACAAAAAGGTATTTGTTTGATTTGGAGCCAAAAGGCGCATTGAAAAGAAAACTTTTAAGCGAAAACACAAAATTGATTTTTTTCATGGAAGTGACAGCTCAACATAAACAGTAATCAACGTTTTCAATAGTTTCTTTGAGCAAAAAATTAATCATCTTTGTTATTTTACCTAAAGAATAAAGAAAATTGATATAAAATGACGATCGTTTTAGTGAAAATCAACAACTATTAGATTGGCAGCTTGAAAGTTGGTACACTTTTTCCTATTTTCTATAAAACATATTTAATACGCCAATTCAATTAAACTTCTCTCAATAAAAGTTATATTTTATCTAATTTAAGCCATGCTTAAGCAAATTTGGGGAACTTTTGAAACGAATTTGAGCAGAAATTCAAATTTCTCTGAAAATTCTTTAAATGCAACTATAACAAAAGCGATTGATTAGTTCTAGCTGAAAATTTGGCTATTTATCTAACTCGTTCTCTTTTCTTATTGACACTAAAGTAGGTTTATGTGGAAGAACGTGCTCAAATCCCTTCATCGAGTGTTCATCATTTTTGGATCCTCAACTTCTTGCCCCCTAGAAACCTATAAAACCAAAGCTTTTCTAAATCTGTCAAAAGCCTGTTTTAGAGAATAAATGGCCCATTTTATAGAAAAAGTAGAAAATGTAGATTAATTCGTGCACTAGTTATTTCTAAAAAGTGTGTTGAACAAGCGTACCAACTTTCAAGTTGTCAACCTAAAACATCTGATAGCATTGAGCTCCAGATGTTAAAAGCAAGAAACATCATTTTCTTCATTTGTTCTAATTGGAGCGTGACGAGTCTCTTCAAAAATTCCTCTACTTGAATCACTTTAAGCTATGATTTCAATTTCTTTTCATATTATTTTCATTGTACTTTCTACTCAAATTTTACTGCATTTGCGCGCTTTGATTCTTCTTCAAAAGATACTGATGTCCAAGACTTGCTTTAGACTTTAAATTAAGTATTTACAAAGAAACTTCAGATGAAGACAATCCTTCTCGTGCTAGCCTTGATCCAAGTCACGGTGGCTCTGCGGTGTGTCGACGCTTTGAAAGATAGTCCTCAGCTTGATGGTTCCGAGGTATTCTTAAAAGTCATTGATATTTTAAAGTTTTGAGTTGACTGAAGAGACTAGTAAAACCATTGATCTAACTATCTAAATATTTTATTTTTTAAATTTCCAACTAGACTACGATTCAGCAATTTTAGCGATCGAAGACCTGCCTATGTGGCGACTACTGCGTATCGTATTACTACCAAGTTTGCTAATTTTACATTCTCTGAATTAAATAACGTTCAGTCAGAGAACAAATACGCCTGGGATTGCGGCTGTTTGATGATCGACTTTGCAGAGTCGTTGAACCTTTGCGGGGTGATAATTTCAATAAGAATAATTAGGCATACGCAAGAATTCCTATATTTTATCTTGAACCCACTTCAGCACGAGGGCATCAACATCTTTGGGGACGTCCGACCTCACTGCTGCAGTGATGACATGTGCAATAAGAAGGACCAAACTAGCAACAATGAAAATCCTCTTATACGTTCATTTGTGAAAGCCGTTGAGCACTTGGCCAAGTAAATAAATACATGAAGCTTTCTCTCTTTTTGATCACTGGCACAACAAATGTCGTATTCTGGATTTCGGATTTGGATCCGAATATCCGCCCAGCCTTGATTAACGGCAAAAAATTTACAGAAATCATTTTTAAATCTAAGATTGCACAAATAGGACTATTTTATCACTGTTCTTTGAAACTCAAAAGATTTTGTCTCATTCTTTGATGACACCGAATGGAATGGATCTGTTTGGTTGATGAATTTAATTGCTGTTGGAGTGTCAAATTCAAGATTTTGTTCTTACACTAATTCGAGTGAATCACATACTACACTGGTCAATTAAAATGTTTAACGTTTTGATCATCAGCATAACATTTGTCCATTTGTGAACCAGCCGAAAAACTCGTCTAACGGCGGGCGGCTGTCACACTCAGGTTAGTTCGCTTTATGCAATCGAAAGGTAGCCTCAGTTTTCCCAATTTTGTTTGCTTTTTTCTCTAGCTGTACTAACATTGTTGCTCGTTCAGATTGATATTCTTTGTCCCGTAACAAATGTTAGTCACTCTTTATGCAATTAGAGGGTATGTTTCATTTTTCTCTGCTAACCAAGCATGGCCTTTTTTCATCGAGCCCTTTGGAAAGTTCAAATTATTTGTCATGGTTTACTTATGGGCCCGGCTAAAATTCTGGTCCCATCAACAATAGAAAACTCAGCATTTGACTCGGAATACGCAAAATTTCCACTTTTGTTTATTAAGATCGACTTCACTCCCCCATCGGGGTTTAAAGTCCGCCAATAAACCTTACCTTACCTGCGAGAAAGTACAGAAAAAGGTATTTTGTGATTTGGAGCAAAAGGCGCAATGAAATGAAGACTTTGAAGCGAAAATACAAAATATGATTTTGTGTATTGGCTACCGTAGGACTTTTGTTGTCTTTTCCTAAAACGCTCTCTTTTTGAGTATTTAAAGAGAGTTTTGAAAGGGAAAATCATTCTGATCTAATTGTTTAGCAGATTTATCTAGTAACCCACCCACCCGGACCGATTAAAGTATTTAAATAACCATCCCCCTTTTCAATAAGCATCTCTAACGTTTACTAATTTTAGATCTGGTATTGAAGAAATGGCGACCGACTATACAAGTGGTCAACTCTCTTCACTTGCCTCTAACCTTCATTGAGAAGATCAACACCATCGCCTCAAGTGAAAACGTTGACATCATTGCCATTGACCCTTCACATGTACACAAAATCCGAGAAAACCAGAAAGCCTTATGTCAAAGACAAAGGCAGCGAACCGGAGGGTCCTTTGGTACTTTGGACGTCCGTTGACTTTGGGAATCAAGCCACAAGCGCTAAGGATGCAAGAACCGTGATCATGGCTTTGCGGATGTTTTTGTCGTTCCTACGCATCTCAGAAGCTGCCGCCTTTCAATGGAAAGACGTCACAGAGGAATAACCGTTCACGTGGAAGATCTTCATCAACGACAAACTAGCTAAGGGTAAAAACACATTCATCTCGTTCGAAAATCAATGCCAAGCTGAAAAGCCCTGGAATTCCTGGAAGTAAGAAGGAAGAAAAGGACCACATCAAGAACACTTCTTTCAGCCTCAGGACCGCCGTCAAGCATCTCAAAGAATTCCTCGCCATGCTGGGACTGCAAGGACAAAATCCGCACTCACTTAGGGCAGGAGGAGTGGCAACGGAAACGGCCAAGGGAACGTCACTCAAAGCTCTTTGTCGCCGAGGTCGTTGGAATTCGCTGGCCGGGATGGAGTCCTACATTCACGACTCAATCGGGGCATAAGGAGGAACCACAAAAATTAAATAAGCCAAGGAAGGCGATTGAAATTTTGTTTTGTTTTGTTTCTAGCTGTACTAACATTGTTGCTCATTCTGATTGATATTCTTCTAGTCACTCTTATGCAATTAGAGTGTATCTTTCAATTTTCTCGGCTAACCAATAAACCTTACTTTATTTGCAAGAAATTTCAGAAAAAGGTAAGATAAGAAGATTTTTAAGCGAAAACACAAAATTCATTTTTTCATGGAAGTGACAGCTCAACATAAACAGTAATCAACGTTTTCAATAGTTTCTTTGTCCAGAAAATTAATCATCTTTGTTATTTTGCCTAAACAATAGAGAAAATGTAGAGCCGATTGGTATAAAACAGCAATCGTTTTAGTGAAAATCAATCTATTCAAAGTATTCAAGCAAAAGGTAAGCTTCTGGTAATCGCTTGTCGGTTAAGTTTGAAATAAATGATACTCAAAAGTTTATAAAAGCGACTGTAGAATGGTTTGTTTTGGCTTGGGTGTCAATTAGTGAAAGTTCCCCTATCTGTCTTCTGTCAAAACTACAAAGTCAACGGATTACGCTGTCCAAAAGTTCCAATATAACAAGGGTTATGGTATTCTCTGATTGCAATGTAAGAACTTGGTTTTTGCATTGTATTCTACATCCTAAAGCATGGAGTTCCAGATGAAGACGATCCTTGTCGTGTTCGCCTTGATCCAAGTCTCAGTGACTCTGGAGTGTGTTCACGCTGCGAAAAATAGTACTCAACTTGATGGCTCCGAGGTATTCTTAAATTCTTAAAAGTCATTGATATTTTAAAGTTTTGAATTGACTGAAGAGACTAGTAAAACCATTGATCTAACTATCTAAATATTTTATTTTTTTCTTTCCAACAAGACTACGATTCAGCAATTTTAGCGATCGTACACCTGCCTATGTGGCGACTTCTGCTTATCGTATTACTACCCAGTTTGCTAATTTTACATTCTCTAAATTTAATAACATTCAGGTAAAGAAGGTATACCTCTGGAGTTGCGGCTGTTCGGTTGATCACGGAAACATATCGAAGATGGACAGTTGCTAGGTGATAATTGAATAAGAATGATTAGGCATACTCAAGAATTCCTCTCTTTTTTCTTAAACCCACTTTAGCACGAGGGCACGAACGACGTTGGGGATGTATCTTATCGACACCAGATTTACTGCTGCAAGGGTGACCTGTGCAATAAAAAAAACCTAACTAGCGATGGAAAACCTCTTATGGGTTCATTTGTGAAAGCACATTTGGCCAAGTAAATAAATACATGAAGCTTTCTCTCTTTTTGATCACTGGCACAACAAATGTCGTATTCCGGATTTCGGATTTGGATCCGAATATCCGCACAGCCTTGATTAACGCCAAACAATTTACAGAAATCATTTTTAAATCTAAAATTGCACAAATAAAACTATTTTATCACTGTTCTTTGAAAAACAAATATTTTATCTCATTCTTTGATGACACCGACCGGGATGGATCTGTTTGAGTGAATCACGTGCATCACTGGTCAATTAAAATGTTTTGTCCGTTTGTGAAGTAATCTTTAGTCAGGGTAATTTTCGGTGAGTCTGTTGGAAATTTAATCGCTGTTTACTGAAGTCTGTTTTATCGAATCAATTTTTGTCGCAGTGGAACTTGGGAAATGACATAGAACAAATCCGCTCCGAGCTCGTTCCTTCTTTCCTGAGTTTGTCCAACTTTTCCAATAGTTTATTTGTCAGTCTGGTTGCCGTTTCCAAACAGTTTTCTCTCTGAAAATCAAGTCAAAGATTTAACAACAATTTATCAGCCAAAGTCAACACTCACACTCTCAACAATCGTCGAATCATTCTCATATCCGATGCAAATGATCATAAACTGTTCCATCATCCAATCTGAAGTCATCAGCACTCTCGCACTACTGCCCACATTCCAGAAATCAAGCATTGTTTGGACATGTTCCTATAAAGCAAATTATATTAAGCTGTAAAAAAGGAACGAAGAGCCTTTCTGGATAGCCTAATATCAAGAACTTTCAAAGCTAACCGGTCAAAAACGACAAAATCCGCTACGGGACAGTGTTTTTGATTCAATTGTAAACGTTTGAGCAACAAAAACTGCAGAAAATAGAAGGAATACGTTGTGCATTAGAAAAAAATAGAAGAAATTTATCTAATTTCAATGAAAGCTTGAGTCTCATGACAAACCGTGTTGCATTGAATTGCTTTTGTAATTGAAAGTGAATAATCTGTGCGTAATAACAACCCTTTCGCTTTTTTTGAGAAAGTGCTTTCGTTTTTCTTCTTCTTTTTTTTTTTCTTAGTCAAAGATTCTTTTGAATTGATAGGCTGAATTCGATTTATCAAAAATTTTGACTAAACAAAACAATAAAAAACAATTTTTGGCCTTTGGAAAGACTCACTCTTGTTCTCGAAAGAGTAACCACCAAAAAACTCATAAATCCCGTAATTTAGAGAACTCGTAAATGATAATTTACCACGAACGGCTCTTTTAAAGAATCAGTTTTCATCAATTGTTGGGTGTTTCGCTTTCTTTGGTCTTCAACATGGCAATTAAAGTCATCATAGTGTTCCTTTCGTGTGATTTCCTCATTTTCAGAGTTCAAATACAATTCATCGATGTCATTTTCAATTAAATCAATCAAAATAACAGTATTTGGGTAATTTCACGAACTGTTCGATGTGCTAGTTATCTTCATTTGTTTGCTAGGCTAGCAGGATCTTTAGGCTAATCAATTTGTCATTTCAGGAAGCTACTTATTGCTGGAGTTCTGGACTCGCGCAGTTCCCATTGATGACACTCTTCCCGATATTTCTTACGATGACTGGTCTGCGAAATTAACGCTTGCGTTTGCGATGAGTGATACCTCATTCGATAGATCTCATTATGTATTAGGTTGGTGGGAAAATAATCGAAATAAACAAGACTCAAACTTTGTCTTTAATTTGAAAAGTCCTTTTGCGCCATTGATACTAAACTTTTAGCTAATTGTAATTGATATATGTTCTTCTCTTTTATGTTTTTTTTTACTTTACAATCAGTCTTTATTTTTAATCAAAATTGAGTGTTTTAAGAGCATGGATAAGGAACTATTTCGGACAGTTTTTTCTACGAGTTCAAGGTTGGCCATATAGCAACAGAAGCGACTGGTAATATCAACAGGGCATTTGGTTCGGGAAGTGTTTCTTATGGTATGGTCGCTTTTTGGTTTCGGCGATTTCACTCGGGCGATGAGACGTTTCAAGACGAAGAACGTCAAGGAAGGCCTTCCAGAGTTGACGATGAAGGATTGGAAAAACTGGTGGAAGGAGATTCGACCAAAATATCTCGAGAATACGCACAGGATCTCCAGGTTGATCATTCAACATTTTGGATCATTTGTAATCAATCAGAAAAGTAAAGAAGATGGATCAATAGATCCCGCACGAATTAAGCGACTCGCAGAGGCTGCAGCGTCTGACAGCCGCCTCGACGTTTCTAACCCGAAATGAAAAAGATCTATTTCTGAATCGGATTGTCACGTGTGACGAAAAATGGACCCTATACGACAACAGAAAAAGAAGCTCCGAATGGCTCAGCAAAGATGAAAAGCCCAAGCGCACTGCAAAGCCAGAGATTCATCGAAAAAAGGTGATGATTACTGTTTGGTGGTACATGAAAGGAATAATACATTTTGCTTTCTTGAAAACAGGAAATTCTATGAATTCGGACCAATATATTTTGGAAATAGAAAAAAATGCATACAAAATTGACAATTGTGGATCCAGGTTTGGTGAATCGGAAAGGCCCTGTCTTGCTTCACGACAACGCTCGCCCGCACATTGCAACCAAAACCATCAAAAAATTGAGCGAGCTGGGCTACGGAATTCCTAGTCACCCACCTTATTCACCAGATATTTCTCCTACGGATTTCCACTTTTTTTAAGCATCTGTGCCATTTTCTGGAAGATAAACAGTTCAAGAATCAAGGCGAGGCCGAAAAGCTTTCGAGTCGAGTTTATCGACTCGAGAACGCCAAATTTCTATTCTGATGGAATTGGAAAGCTTGTTTCGCGTTGGCAGCACTGTATAGATGCTGATGGTTTTTGCTTTGAATAAATTCATTTTTTATTGACTTTTAGTTTTGTACTTGAAGTTAGTTTTGAAATCAAATTTTACTATTTTTTAAAATTTCATTCAAGTTCGATTACACGCAAAAAAGATTATTCAAAAAATTGATTCAATAAAAAGTTCCAGTCCCGTCAAGTAGGGCCAAAAACCTTATTTTTGCTCCCTGTCGGCTCCAGTTCTTGTTGTAGAGTTACTAGGGCAGCCAATTCTTTTTGGTCATCAATCTATCAGGTTGGTGGGAAAATAATCGAAATTTGCAGCTTCTAACTTCAAGTACAAAACTAAAAGTCAATAAAAAATGAATTTATTCAAAGTAAAAACCATTAGCATCTATACAGTGTTGCCAACGCGAAACAAGCTTTCCAATTCCATTAGAATAGAAATTTGGCGTTCTCGAGTCGATAAACTGCTGGAAAGCGTTTTCGGCCTCGCCTTGATTCTTGAACTGTTTATCTTCCAGAAAATGGCACAGATGCTTAAAAAAGTGGAAATCCGTAGGAGAAAGATCTGGTGAGTAAGGTGGGTAACTAAGAATTTCGTAGCCCAGCTCAGCCCAGCTTTGAATGTGAACAAAATCCAAACTAAATCTTGAAATAAACTTATAAGTTTAAAGATTCAAAAATAGAAAACTCATTTCCCTTGAAAGTCTTGGCTTTGCTGAATGACTAAAGCCATCAAATGTTACCTCTTAAATACTAAATGAATAAGACCAAACGTTATTGTAGCAATTAAAACATATTTTTTGTTAAGATTGTATCCTCAAAAGAAATGGATAAAGTAATCCTCATGATAAAGTAAAAAAGAACACTGATTGTAGTCATTCTAGTTTTACGTAATTGTCCTGTTAAGTCAAAAATAGGGCTTGAATCTTTTTGTTCAAGTTTATTTCAAGATTTAGTTTGTCCGAATATCCGAATATCCGCCTGATTAACGGCAAAAACTTTACAAAAATCATTTTTAATTCTCAAATTGCACAAATAGGACTATTTTATCTAAACTCACGACTCGGGGCACGACTTAGGAGAATTCACAAGAATTAAATAAGCCAAGGAAGGCGATTGAAACTTTGTTTTGTTTTGTCTCCAGCTGTACTAACATTGTTGCTCGTTCTGATTGATATTCTTCTAGTCACTCTTATGCAATTAGAGTGTGTCTTTCAATCTTCGCTGCTAACCAATAAACCTTACTTTATTTGCAAGAAATTTCAGAAAAAGGTATTTTGTGATTTGAAGCCAAAAGACGCGATGAAAAGAAGACTTTTAAGCGAAAACACAAAATTCATTTTTTCATGGAAGTGACAGCTCAACATAAACAGTAATCAACGTTTTCAATAGTTTCTTTGTGCAAAAAATTAATCATCTTTGTTATTTTGCCTAAACAATAGAGAAAATGTAGAGCCGATTGGTATAAAACAGCAATCGTTTTAGTGAAAATCAACAACGATCTATTTAAAGTATTCAAGCAAAAGGTAAGCTTCAGTAACTTGTCGGTTAAGTTTAAAATTAAATGATACCTTTATCGAAAAGTCAAGCAACGACTGTAGAATGGTTTGTTTTAAGCTTGAAATGATCAATTTGAGATTCATTTTCAGTAGATCTCTCACTCCTCAGAAATTTAGTTTTGGCTTGGGTGTCAATTAGTGGAAGTTCCCCTATCTGTCTTCTGTCAAAACTATAAAGTCAACAGGTTACGATATCCAAAAGCTTCAATATAAAAAGGGTTATGGTATTCTCTGATTGCAATGTAAGAACTTGGTTTTGCATTGTATTCTACATCCTAAAGCATTGAGTTCCAGATGAAGACGATCCTTGTCGTGTTCGCCTTGATCCAAGTCTCAGTGACTCTGGAGTGTGTTAACGCTGTTAAAGACAGTACACAACTTGATGGTTCCGAGGTATTCTTAAAAGTCATTGATATTTTAAAGTTTTTAGTTAACTGAAGAGATTAGTAAAACCATTGATCTAACCATCTAAATATTTTATTTTTTAAATTTCCAACTAGACTACGATTCAGCAATTTTAGCGATCGAATACCTGCCTATGTGGCGACTACTGCGTATCGTAT